GTACTGACCTTTGCCTCTCAGCTGTGAGAGCCATTGAATAAGCTTTGTTCACTGAAGGTAGTGGATCTAGTAACATGATTTGGTTTTTCAGGGTGTCATAGCCATCATTTAATCCCATGAGAAACTGAATAAGTTTGGTTTCAGATTCATGCTGAGCCACCTGTTTTCTTTTTACACAATCACAAACTCTCACTGGAGCAACACAAGCATATTCATCCCATAATTTCTTAAGCTTGTTAAAATACTCCATGACTGTATCATTTCCTTGGCTCAAGCTGGTAATCTCTCTTTGCAGTTTGTACTTCATAGGACCATTGTTTTCACCATACCTTTGACAAATGTCATCTTACAGATCCTTAGCAGATTCAACATACATAAAAGACTGCAATGTCCTTCGATAAGGAATTCAATATCCATGAAAGTACAGTCTAGTCAACCTTTTTCCAAACAATATACATATCATCCTTTTCATCCGGCATCTCAATTTCACCATTGATGAAGCCAATTTTTGCTTTAGCATTGAGAGCAATGATCATCGAACGCTTCCACGGCAAAAAATTATTACCAGCTAGGGAATAGTAACCAGAACCATACCAGGATTATCGGAGCTATGTAAGAACAGCGGATCTTGCTCGGTGAGCTTCAGACCAGATGCAGTGTTGGTGTTAAGCAGTGGCCAGGCCTCATTTCTTCGTTGCGCCATGATCGAGCTTGCTCAAAGACAGATTAACAGAATCAGCAACCTTGTGAAGGTGATCTGCAACGTGAAACCCTAGATCGGAACTTAGATCGATAAACTCAAGCTTCGCCTGCGCCAGAATCAACCGCTCTAGATACCATGTTGAAATCGATTTCAGAGCTAAGATATTTTGGGAACCATTTTCTTATTTCACACAAAATCAGGAAAAACGAGTTACAGGGAAGACCTTAAAAGGGTCCCATGCACCGTACAACCATGCAACACAAAACGGTGTCGTTCACTGTTAAAAGAAAACCGCACAATACTAATAAAGTCGCTACACGTTTTATCAAAGGAAAAACCAAAAGAAAATAAAACGGAAATAACTGAAACGAAAACAGCAAACTAAAACAGCATGAAATCTTCATTCCTTTTGCATAAGAATGCACAATTCCAACAATTACCATCATCACCACTAACTAATATGACCCATCTTGTTATCATATCATCAGTAATAAAAGTGGCAGCCTATAGATTATACCACGCCGCCACCAAATAGAAGAAACAAACCTCTCTCTGCTAAACTGTTTGTCAAAGAGGTACCTTACTCTTCGGCAGTCAAACTTAATAAACTCAGATATATTCAATCATCATCAAATTATTATTGTAAGTTGGAATGAGATCAAAACTTGAGATTTAGAACCTGACGGCTGCAGCGAGCTGGTGTTGATCATAGACTCGAACAAAGTATTTGCAAGGTCCCCCAATTCCCCAGCTGCTGAGGTCACTAAGAAGCTTTTCTCCCCGCAAATCAACATTCTCGCGACTTCTTGGGAAGATCATCGCAGCAAAGCGGTGCGCGATGGAGACGAGGGAAAGCACGACTGAGTGCGCGAGATACAACAATGATGTATGTCGCATCGCGTTTTCCGGTTTGGGCTTCGCTCTACTCGGCCGGCCACGAGTCTTCTCTCTTCTTCTATTAAAAACAGCCGGCCCATTTTTTTTTTTTTTTTTTTT